TTTTTGACGTAAAATCGTCGTAATATGTACATCGAAATGCAGTCGTTGTATATTCGTCGTAATGTTACATCGAATTTACGACGATTTTACATTTACTACCAAATCTCTCGTTATCGATGTATAATCGTTGTAATTCGTCGTAAATTGTACGTCGAGTTTACGACGATTTTTTTATACGACGGTGTTATGACGGTTTTAAAATTAGACGTAAGATCGTCGTAAAATCGTCGTAAACTTGCGACGATTTGAAAACCGTCGTAATAGACCGTTGGAAAACGATTATTTTCTTGTAGTGACATCTCTTGATTTTCTTTAACAAATTCCTCATCCTTTCTTTTGGCCATTCACGAATCAGAGGCTTCAACCCTTTTAGTTTCTTAGAGAACCGAAAAAGCGATGAATTTGACAAGTAAATAGGCTATGTATTATTCTAGTAGCTCTCCACCATTGGTATATAGTCAGCCATATCTGCAATAGTATTTGGAATTTTTTGAAAGGCCTTCGCCGTGAAACCATATTAGAATTTAAATGAATCCTGCAATGAAAATGGTCGGAGCAGCCTCCAACGTCAAAAATGCTATGATTGGGGAAAACACGCAACCGATGCTCATTCAGTACACTCGATCCAACTTCTTTAAAATCAGACCATTCCCCTCTTATATACAAAGGACCATGAAATGCCAAGTCCATAAACAAGATATGCCTCACCACCTCCTGAAAATCACTCATCCGCGATGTTACCAGCGGCGAATTTTCAAAACCCAAATGCTCATCTACATTGAGTGTCTCTTTAAAGTTCCCAAATACTAACCACGGCTTATTTTGAATGATAGGAGAGCCGTGATGATTTCAAATATCACTGCATAGAAATTTCTGTTCATCCGCAAAGTTTGAAGCATAAATGAATGAACAAAAGAACTCCTTGTAGTCTTCCATCTTTATTGAAAAAGTAATTATCTGTCCACTCTTAAAGAAATGTGTGACTCTCACATTCTTATTCCACACCACCCAAATACGACCCAAACGGTTAATTCGTCATAATTGACCAATAATCAAAAATCGAAGCCACAAGCTGCTGAGACTTACTCTTTAACTCGTGTCTCCAACAAACCTCCAAACTGAAAAGATCCACTTCTTATCCAACGCCTTACTATGGAATATTTTGTAATTTGATTTAAGCCCCGAACATTCCAAAAGAACCCTGTCATAATTAGTATTTTTTGGGATTCTTCTTTTACTTGCAGCACTCGGATTTACATCCTTTGTGGTGTGAGCAAAAGAAACTGATTTCTTTTTATTTGTGCCTATCGTAAAGCGTTACAAGTTTGATCGTAGTGATCTGTCCACATGCTACTCCTCTTGCACTACTTTTTTATCCTCTAATACCTTCTTTACTATCATCTTCTTCATTGTCTTCAAATTTATTCTTCTTGTCTTCCTCCGTTTCACAATTATCCTTGGTATTCGTTTCGGTTGTGCTTAGAATTGCAAACTGTGATGGAGAGCTTACTGGTTGTTGCTCCTTTTGTTTCTCCTCTGCTGATTCCTCTGTTTTATCACTCAAAGCCTCCTTTGCTATTGTGTCTTCCACAATTGCTAAAGGCAACACAGGCTCAGTAATCAGAATTTTTTTGGCGCATCAACAACAGTGGCCAAAATTGATGAATCTTCTTTACTTGAAGAGTTTCCATTAACCTCTGTTTCCTCTGCCAAGTCCACACTTTTCGATACCATCTCTGCATCTTTTTTCAATACCTGCTTCTTCAACATTTTGACATTCTTACTACCTCCCTTGGTTGAACATCTACTCTCAATACGACCCCATTTAGAACAGTGAGAACATCTTAATAGTAAGCAAGGATACACAAATTCGACTACAGCATCAACTCCCATCTTTGATTTAAATCGATACTTCTTTGGTAACTCCTTTTCCATGTTAGCATTCACGTATACTTTTGCCTCTTCTAAGCTTGTGCATAGCTTAGTGCCTGGGTGTAGCCGGACTGGATGACCCATTGCACTTTTAATGAAACTTAAACCCTCCTAAGAAAAGATCTTATGAGTGACGTTTTCAATTTTAATCCATATCGAGATCACCTTAATCTCTGGCTCTTGTTCTTCCTCAATAACTGGTGATCGCTTTGAAATGATCATCAAGATGTCTGCAATATTTCACATCCCTCTCCTTAGAACACTCTTCCTTGTTGCTTTATCTCTAATCCAAAATTTAACCGTCATTGACTTGACTGGAAAAACATCGATTCAAACTTCTTTTCCCCTATTGGCCATATTTTACTGACAATTACATTTATTTTGTTATGTGGAGTCATAGAAAAAAAATTTTTCCCTCCAAGAGATCCTCCCAAAGCGAGAACTAAGTTGCTGATGAGTTCATTAAGGACTTCGACTGTGGATGCACCATCCACCATCTCCACTTCGACGACATGACTTGATAATGATGGTTTATTTTTGATGATATTGACCCACAAACCCTTCTGTGCTGATTGAGATTGTTGACTTGGCTGATTCTCTACAACCAGCAGCAGTGGAGGCTCACATTCCAGCGTCTCCATGGCCTCCAAAATCCTATGTTGATTTGCAATATCACACAAAAGGGTATAACACTAATTTATATCGGAATCTGGTATCAAAAGTTTCTTTATGGATATTAAAGAGTTCGGAAATACAACTGAGTTCGTTCATCTAAGAATAATAAACAAACTGCGACTTAGAAAGAACTACGAAATCAAAAGTTTGAAGGTCTTGAGCTTTCAATCTCAAAGCTTCTCTCAATTTTTCTGTGTGGCGGAATGAGGGCTCTCCCTCTTTTTTATACAGTCTTGTAGTCGGTTTAGATGTAATTTTCCTTTTCCATTTTGACTTAGGATATCTGAAATAGTTTCCTTTTCCTTAGGTCGAAACATGAAAATTTTATTTTTTTCCTATAGGAAGGTTCCGCCGACCTTCTTCTTCTTGGCTTATGTTGGTCCATATGTTTGGTTGGTTTAATCCTCTCAGTATTTTACCATCGTCAATCAGGTTCAATTGGACCAATCTCGGTTCATACAAAGAAAATCAGAGATGCGGTTTTCATCTCCAATATCCTATTTGGTGCAGAAACCCTAAAACCATAGATCGTCTTTCTGGTTTCTTCTTGCTGAGTTAGCCTAAAATGTTAGCAATAATATATTATATTATTATGCTAATACCTTTGATTTTGAGCATGATGAATTTAACTTTTTTGATATTAAATATTCTGTATTACGTTTATGATTTGTAAAAAAAATCAGAAATATGATTTGATGTTTAGTGTTTCATTATATATACGCGTACCCGTTTTCTAAATTTTTGAGAACGCTTCGCTTCGGCTACCTGCTTCCCATTTCATGCAACTTATATCACTTCTGTGGTTTTGGTAATTATGTGAGATTGCTCTACATTTTTCTAAACTATGAAATCTTGTTAGACCGTGCGTTATCACACGACATGGGTTCATAGGTAGCACAGATAGCATAGATAGCATGGGTTCATAGTATATGAAGCAACATGGTTCATAAATAGGATGAGACATACCGCTTTTAATATTGGTTGGTGTTCTGTTTTGAAAATCCAAATACAGCATGAAGTGTGTGAACCATATTATAGTAAAACCTCGACAAATTAAAAATATCGGAACCATAATATTTTATTAATTTATCGTAATATTAATTTATTTATAAATTAATAATTATTAATTTATAAAAGAAAATCGTTTTTCGCTCATTTTATTCTTAATGTTTTTTCAAATAATGTTATAATTAAGAATCTAAACTCATATCCTTATAAAATTCTATGCAAAAATTTAAATTATAATTACTAATCATAATAATCGTAAAAGAATAGTTATTTCTATTTAATAATTGTGAGCTGAATTATCTATGTAAAAATATAAAAGTTTAACTGTATAAAATTTATAAAAAATATGACTATTATCCTTAATGTTGGTGCTGAAATTAAAGACAATAACATAATATATTTGAAAACAGTTACGCGTAAGAAAATTAACTATCACATCTAAATTTGTTCACAAATTTTGAATAGAGATAAAAAAACAACATTAAAATTTATTGACGTAAATAAATAAAGAGATGATTTTCAATAAAATTTTAAAACTTAAATAAAAACAAACATCACATTAATCATATTTTAGTATATTATATTTAACATATATATACATAAATTTATATAATTATTAATTTATGCTTATAATGGGACCATATTTTTACATAAGGGTTTCAAAAAAATTATTAACTTATTATAATATCGAATTTGATGAATTTTTACACTAATCTAACTCAAGACCAGAAAAATTTATTAATTTATAGTGATTATTAATTTATTTTGAATTAAGTTACAGAGGTTCTACTTTTTGTTTTCAGCTCTTTATGTGAATAACAAGTGATGTACAAAAACTTGCTTGGGTTTGTCTAATATGGCCACTTACTCTTACGTTTTTCCACAAATCCTCGCAATAAATAGACTAGCTTAGTGTTATGTACGTTTCCTTTTAAACAGAAGCAACAATGGCAAGAAATATGGCAACAGCAACAATGAAAGTAGACGTGAAGTATGATTTTGATCAGCTACTACTATGGATCATCAATCCCTCAAGAGACGGCAACATCTCGCTAATCATGAAGAGGGATTTGGAAAGAAAGGAATGCAAGGCTTCACACCTCCACCTTCAGCCAGCCTCGGTCACCATCACTGACATTAATAGGATGATAAGAGCTAGGCTCAACCCTCTTTCTCGGGCTCAACCACCAAAAACCCCAAGTACGTACAATCTCAGATCTTACTTCTTGGTTTTCTTTATTTCAAGTTGAAGCTTCAAGCTTCCATGTAATTTGCAGATCGCTTTTTGTATATGCTCTGATGCAATGGTGCTGTAACCCTGAGGGAAAGTGTAACCAAATTTAATAAAAAAAAAATAAAAATTTAAAATAAAAAATTGTCAAGCATTGCGAAAGATCTTCCCTCTATCATATTCATAGGCAGATGCTAAAAGAAGAATAAAGAAGAGACCAACATTCTAAACAGGGAAGATAACTAAAATCCAGGCCGAAAAGTCACACTTGACAACAAATAGTAACACAACAAGATGAAATTGAATAAGAGGATGAGTTTCCCTACACTACTTAGACCAACATAAAGGATCCTCTTCAAGTCTTAAGCACACATAACACGCCTCTCTTATCTCATGTTTCATTTTCTCTTCTTAGCAGGAGGCTGGCGAACATCTTCGTCCTCTTCCTCATCATCATCTTCGTCCTCGTCGTCCTCATCTCCATCATCATCATTATCACCATCGTCATCATCATCATCATCATCATCATCATCATCGCTTCCTCCTGCACCATTTGTCACTGGATCATCCTCTGGATCAGCTTCTTCCCCTTCATCGCCCGAGAAATCTTCATCATTAGCATCATCATCATCATCGTCCTCATCAGCGTCGTCATCATCATCGTCATCATCAGAGTCGCTGGCATCTTTGTTTTCCTCATCACGGCGTCCTTTTTTGTAACCCTCCTTCACAGAAAGCCTACAGAAAAAATAAACTCAGATTGCGTCGATAAAGAAAGGGAAAAGTACAGAAAAGATAAACTCAGATTGCCTCGATAAAGAAAGGGAAAAAGGGAAAAGTGTGGCCGTTATACTCACCTCTGATCTTCAGCAATCAACCCTAACAGTAAACTTTCCACCTGCGATTAGAATAAATGTTAGACAAGGTTTTATGTAATTTATACAATACTGAACTTACCATAAGTGATAATCAGCTTAATTGGATAAAGAACAAAACAGCAGAATGTGAAAACCATCTAGTATATTAATCCAATATTCGGCGAAAACGGAATAAATTAAAAAGGAGCATGAAAATGACCTAGCAAAAAACAACCAACACAACAATAAGCCATGATAATCTCCAAGATAGCAGTCAATTTGTATGGATATAAACTTTGCATAGATGAAGTTTTATTGAGTTTTGCTCTATTACCCAACTCCAATAACACATTTTTCATTACAAAGAAGTACACGAGAGCAATCCACAACGAATTTTCAGAAATTGGATAAAGCCACAGCGTAAAAGTGACCACTTAACAGATGGAATCGAACTTGACATTGTTCCAATCTGCAGTCAACTTCAAGGGTGCACAGACCCATCTAAAACCATTTGCACAGAAGTTAAATTAGCTTGTCCAAATTCAAATCAAGACAAAATCTCATCCCTTAAACAGAAATCTGAGTATTTAAATACGAAGCAATTTCTCACAACGGACTCAAAAACAAATCTATAAACCTTTATATTCAGGAACACAGAGTTATCTCCGGTATGGTATGTTTCAATTTCGGCCTCAAATACATGACAAATCCAACAGAACAGAAGTACACAACAAGAGACGAACAAGCCCTAATTCAAGCTAACAAGCGAACAAGTAAAATCTCGGAATTTTCAAAAACTGTTCTATACCGCAAGGAGCAGACAAGCGAGATTTCTTCCGACGAGGATGAGAAGCGTCTCAGTGACAGAACAAGCCCATGTCTGTTGTCTCTGTGCCTCCATCAACCTAACGGGAAGCACTTCCATATCTACTCGAAATTGAACCTAAAAGGACTCCTGTAAGAGATGAGAAGACAGAAAAAGTCTTAAACTTTAACGAAATTTGTAAGGAGACGAAGAGAGAGAGAGGGAGAATAAGAGGAGGGAGTGAGGAGAACCTGAACAGCTTATGTGTCTAGATCCGGTCAAGCGTAAACCCTAGATTTTGGTACGAGTAGGGTTTTTGTCTTTGAGGTTAAATTTCATATATAGACAGATTTAATTTCTATGTCGAGAGATGTAACAAATATTTTGATTGGTGCGAATCGTATACAGTATATTTTGTCCTTGACTTCTTAAGGAATAATTAATTAAAAAAAAATCGGATAAGTTTGAAATAACAATATTTAAAAATAACTTGATAAAAAACTAAGTATTTATTTAGAATTAAAATTTTAAATGCAATAAAATTAATTAGAAAGTTTTATTTAAGAACTAAGTGAATATCCGCGCACGTTACGTACAATTTTTTCTTCAAAATTTTCAATTTTTTTTATTTATATTTTTATAAAAATTAATATAATCATTACTTGTTATTTACTTATTTGTTAATATTTTATTTTAAAAAATTAAAAAATATTAATTTAAAATACATATTGAATATTATTTAATAATTTAAAATTATATTAAAATTAATAAATATCATTCAATATTTTGAATTAGTTATAACATAAATTTTTGTTTAATATTTACACAAATATTAATTAATAATCAATTAATAAAAAATTAAAATTAATATAATCATCATTTCATTTGTTACTTATTAGTATTTTATTGTAAATAATTTTAAAAAATTAATTTAAAATATATCTTGAATATTATTAAGTGATTTACAGTTATATAAAAATTAAATACATATCTATCGATATTTTTAATTAGTTATAACATAAATTTTTGTTTAACATTAATATAAATATTAGTTAAGAGTTAATTAATAAAATAAACTTTTCATATTCTTTAACTGCTTTAAAATTTAATATTAAATTTTATTAATTAAAATTTAAGTGACAGATGTCAACTTCTCCAATGCTGATGTGTCAAGCATATGGAGAAAGTTGAGCAACTTTTATATATAAGATATGTAATATTAATATAAATTTTTTTTTTTGTCAACTATTAATATAAAATTTTCTACTACAATTTAGTAGTGTTAAAAAAAAAACATTCAAAAATAATTAATACAACTACAAACTAAATTATTGTGCTTGAAAAAAAAAAACAAAATTGTTACTTGTTTTCTTTTCTTAGCATAAACTATGATTAATTGTATTATATATCTTTTGACTGATTTTTTATTTATCAATCTAATAATAACATGGAAATACGTTTCATCGAAATTATTCTTTAAGCAACCCAATCAAATTTTCACTATCGAAAAATGAATATAGGTCAAATTAAACTATAATTTTATGTGGATTCACTCACCATAATGACACAATTTCTTTTGAGAAATTATGGCATATTTCATCTTGAGATTTACCTTCATGCACACTCTATGAACTTACAATTGGATTCCTTCTTCCCAAGAAAGAACTTGTTGAACTTCTCAGTGCTCTTTAGCTGTTATTAGAGTATGGTTTATACTGGTATAACTTGGTTAGTTTGGTTAAGTCAATGTCTCCGGTTATGATATAGTAAACCGAGACAGAGAAAACACTCTCGTATATAAGCTCAAGTAGTTGTAAACAGTTCTTCATTGTTGAATAACAGAATCATTTTCGATCTTCTTCTTCGTGATTCATGATCTCTAACATGGTATCAGAGCTTGAGGCAATAACCTTAATGCGATCCCGAATTCACTTTATCTTTCGTTTTGACCTAGATTAATTGGTGATTTTCTCGATTAATCTATTTCTTTTGATTTGCAATCGATTCTTTTGGTTATTCTTCCAAGAATCACGATTTTCACAATCTATCTTCATCTTGAACTTTGAAATCCTCAAAATGGTGATTAATCGCAAAACAAGTCTTCGCACAAACGTTTATCTTCGCCATCATCGGATTTAGAACGTTCGCTGTCTCAATCGGTAGATAGCATTCATTCACCATACTATCTAACAAGCGGTGACAATCCAAGTCTTTCCATCATCTTAGAGGTACTCGTTGGTTCTAACTATGATAATTGGAGTATCGCCATGACTATAGCCTTAGATGCAAAGAATAAGATGGATTTTATTGATGGATCTATAGTTAGACCTAGTGAATCAGAATGAATCTTCAGAATCTGGTCTATGTGTAACTCAATGGTTAAGTCTTGGCTCTTAAACTCGGTGTCTAAGCAGATCTATAGTATACTGAGGTTTAATGATGCATCAGAGATATGGAAGGATCTTTTGACTAGGTTTCACATCACAAATCTTCCACGATCGTACCAGTTGTCTCAGCAAATTTGGTCTCTTAATCAAGGTTCTATGGATCTAGCTACCTATTATACAATGCTGAAGACACTTTGGTATGAATTAGACGGAGCAAACTATGTTGAAACCTGCAGAAACTGTTGTTGTTGCAAGGCGACTGAGACTAAAGCATCTCATGCGAAGATGACAAAATTTTTTGCTGGTTTGAATGATTCTTATTTGTCATCCAAAGTCAAATTATCATGAAGAATCATGTTCCTGAATTGTCTGAAGTCTACAATCCCCTTGATCAGGATCACCGTCAAAGGAATATTCTTCCACTTCAAAATGCATCAGCCTTCAATGTTTCTGCAAATGATCAGATATCAGTGAATGCAACACAAACTACTGCAATACCAAGGCCTGTTTGCTCTCACTGCATGTATAATGGACATACAATGGAGACTTGCTACAAGATTGATGATACCGTATTTTGACCACTTTTAAGGATCATTTTAAATATTTTTTCAATGCTTTTCATTTTGTTTAAGTGTTTTTATTATGATTTTTCTAGTACTTGTTCTTTCAAGACTCTTTTTAGGAAACTTAGGAAAAAACTTAGCAAAATAGATAGAAGACCAAATTTTCAGCTCATAGTCAAACGGTTAGAAGTTCACCCTAAAAATGAAGACTTTCTCACCGTCTGATCCAGCTCAAATTTGTAGACCTTAAAGATGGAAAATCAGCTTTCCAGCACACTTGACACCAAGACAATCCAACGTTTCAATCAAAAGTTACGCAAAGAACAAGATGTCCTGTCAACCAGCCGACAAGCATTCCTGACCGCGGCCAGCACCATTTTACACCAGTCACGTCTCCTCTGACCGCAGAGAATGGTCAGTTCGGCCTAGAAACCCATTTCCAAGCCCAAATCGATTCTTTCATTTGGAGAAACCCTAAGTGACGTCCAGAAATGACTTGAACGCTATAAATACATGTTTAAGGAACCCTATGACGTATGTTAAGTTTTTTTTATTCATTCCTTAGAGTTTTTTTTCATAATTTTAGCTTTTTAGGTTTAGAGAGATAGAAATCTATCTCTTGAACCCTTTTTGTTTCTTTTCAATATCAATTTCTATTCAGTATTTCAATACAATGTTTTTGCTTTCTTTATTCATGTCTGAGTAATTTACTTGTTGGATTTAAGTGATTTTCAATGGGGTATATATTTGAGGAGGATTCCATCTATTCTATTAAAACAGAAGCACATTTAGTGCTTGCATCCAAACACTCCTAAAGTTTTTTATAATATTTTATTTTATTTTTATATTTAATTTCCAAAAATTAGTTATTAATTTAGATATTTTTAGATTTCCTAAAATCTAGGTCATCTTTAATTTAAATTTCATATTATTAGAAATTTAATTAAATTTAATTACAAAAATTTGCATTCAATTTAATTTAAATTCAAAAAATCAAAAAAATTATAATTAAATTTTATTACAAAAATTTAGATAATAATTTTAATAGTTTAAAATTTCTTAAATACAGGAGAGATTTAATTTAAAATTTTAAATTTAAATAATATTTTTATAAAAATGCATAGTAAATAAATATTTTATCGTATTTTATCATAATCAATTGGTCTAAAATATCAAATATTTGAGATTAATAAATATTTATATTATACAATAATATGATCGAGCTGATTAGAGTTATATATATATATATATATATAAATATATTTAAGGTCCATGAGTTAATTTATCATGTAAGATATTAAGATGATTTGAGACAATTAAACTAACAGGTTAGCCAGTTTATATATATATATATATATATATATATATATTTTTAATAGCACAAATAATAAATAAATATCTTATTATATTTTTTCATAATCAATTGGTCCAAATATTCCATATTAGTAAATATTTATAGGGTTATACAATTATAATTATAGTCTTATACGGATTAGTTTGTTAAAACATGTAAGATATTAAAAATGATTTAAGAAACTAAACGGATGGATTAGCAAATTCATAGATATATAGATTTTTTATGTGTAAATCTAAATTCACATAATAACAAAGTTTATAATTAACATTAGATCAATGTATACTTAATTAACGCATACTCTTATCCTACTAATATACAAATTTTACTGTTTAAAATTAAAATATGATAACAATTTTTTGATTTAAAAAAAATAAATAACAAAAACAAATTATATCTAAACAAAAAAGATAAATACAACTTATATTAGAAATAAAAAATAAAATATTCTCGTGCGGACGCACGGGGTTAAAACCTAGTTAGCTATTAAAGACGAATCCTAGAACTTTTTCTTCTAAACTTATTTTTAATGCATAGGAGTAGCGTCATGAACTATAATCTGATTTAGGTTCGTAGTGTTGCAAAAGTTTTCATTAGGGGCCAGATGTAGTAAGAGAAGAGCAATTCTGCCATAAGAGTGGAAACCTACCTATGGGTGAGTTATGCGTGTAGATGAGTCTAGTACAAGATTGTGTACACTCACTTCCGGGGCCAGAGTGGAAACCTACTGGTCAGAGTTGTTGGTGACAGTTGGCTGCGATCATGACAGCGATGTAGTCATACCTTCGAGCTCGAGTTTTAAAATTTTTAACTAGGATCTAAAACTTGTTCCCGCACTCACACCACATCAAGTTTTTGGTGCCGTTGTCGGGGAAGGGAAGCATTTTCTCTTCCGCAAAACCCGAATAAAGGTTAATAAATCGACTCTAGAACACTTTTTCTACCTATTTTTGTTTTTGGTTCTCTTTGTTTTAGACTTTGAAGCAATGAATCCCATGACCCAAAATCCCCACTACGAGGACGGTTTCTGCAGCCCTCCTTAAGCAACCAGAC